TTTTGAAATACTTTATGTATATATCATGGGCTGAGCTACTTTTGTAGTGTGTAACTGATAAACTATTTTTTTCACCAAGTTAACAGATTCTATTATTTCCTTGTTTCTAAATTGGTTGAAACACTTGACCAAAAAAAAAATTGGTTGAAACACCCGACCAGAATGAAACTTCATTCCTTGTCAGGAATTAATAGCATAACAGACTTCAGAAGTTGATGGTTAATGATTATGCATGGCTTGAATCAATGTTATTTATTCCCATATGTCATGCTGCTACTTTTATGGTTTAAGTGAGAAATTCTTATTTCTAAGGTTTATTTTTCTGCCAATGATCTTCTCTTAGTTCTTGGTCAATGGTTTTTTCCCCCCAATTAAACCACAAACAATATGTAGGTATGATGTTCATACATAAGAGAAGATATTTAGTTATCTTATGCATACACAATCACATACATAGAAATGAGAGTTTCTTCTGAGTTGAATTTCAAGACGTAGATGGGGATATTGATGTTATGCATTTTTCTTGATTGTTATATTATACCAAGTGATAGTGAAACTTTTATTCACGCTGAACAACTTAACAAGCTTGTGTAACTGTGTTTGACCGAGGTACTGTGACATTTGATTGCAGCTCTACATATGGCTTCTGCTAATGGACATCTTGACATTGTGGAGTATCTTATCAGTAGAGGAGTGGTGAGGTCTTTTAAGTCAATATCTAACATTTTTTTCCTCCTTTTCAAAAAAAATAATATAACAGTCTTTTAGTTAGAAATTGTGTTTTGTTTTCTCTCAAAAAAGATTGTAAAGGAAATCTGTAAGTATCAATCTCATGTTAGAATATAAAGTCAATAGATTTAGGATTGATAAAAGGATTTATCAATTGGGTTTTGGTCCCTATTGTAGAGCTAATGCATTGCAAATGGGTTTTGGATGTGGAGCTTAGATGAATGTCGGATTGGAAGTTAGTGGGAGGAAAGAAAATTGAGGGGTTTGAAGGGAAGGTTGTGCGAGGAATTTTATAGAAGCTAAGTGCTGTTCAGAGAGAACCCAAACACTCACAGAGGAGAGAAGAAAATGGTGATTTTCTCACAAGCTATGGCCGCCACCACAATAGCTTGGGGACTGCTGGAGTGATGGGCACAATGGCATTGGAAAAGAAATTACTTTTTTTTTTAATTAAAATTTTTCTTTAATTGTTATTAATTAGTAATTGGTGAATTTAAATATATGTAATATATAAGTTAACTATGGTTAGACTTTAGGACACATTGCAGCCTTAGACTATGGTGGTGATGCTACACCTTTGGGTTAAAGTGGTGAACAAAAATGATCTCTATTGTTAAATTGTTAAGCAGATGACTCATTGGTTGACTATAAGGGTATTACATTGAAATACCAACTAGTTTTTTTTCCATATTAAAATTCGCATCTTATAAACGGAGCAACTACTTTAACTGGTATGAAGCACTTTAATGTCTTTTACTCAACAAAAAGGCTTATCGGTTAAGGTTATGATTGTTCTTTGTTTTTTTTATTTTGAAGCTTAAATTTTAATTATGTTATTTGCATTGTGATATCTGGCAAAAGATTGCTTGCATGTTCTCTGTTCTCAACTTGTGATATGTTATTATGATAAATTATAATAATTTTGTGCTTCTTTGCATAAGGATCTTAATGCTACAAATGAGGAGATGAATACACCTCTACATTGGGCTTGCCTGAATGGACATGTTGAGGTGAATATTTTGTTTGTTTTGGCACAGTGTTATTAACTCATTCTACTTTTTGTCTAACGTTTTTGCCTTTGCAGGTGGTTAAGAAATTGATCTTTGCAGGAGCTAATCTTAGTGTACTAAACAGGTACGCATTCGAACATGTTAACTAACGCCTGACTTTCTTTAACATATAAGATTTGCACACCTCTTATTATAAGAATGATTGTGGCACTGGTTGTCTTCAGCTATGAGAGGACTCCAATTGATGAAGCTGTGACCAGGGGAAAGATGGATGTTCTTGATGCCATTAATGCAGCAGCTGCCCAAGTAGAGCTGACTGGCGTCAGCGTGTCCTAATGTATTGAGTACCTAACGACAATTGGGAGCCATGACAAAATTTATAGATGTTATCTTCTTGTAGATTGCAAAGTTTAGATATGAAACTTTTGGTAATAGCTATAGAGGATTGCAACTGTTTGCTAAACTAGTGTGATGCTAATCAGTCTCCATATCTCAAATTTTAATGTGCAGCGCTTCAGTGAGGTCAAAAAAGAAATGTTGTGTTGTCTATGCCATTGGAAATAATCTGCAGGAATATGTTTCGAACGCACATCTGGATCCCGTGGTTTGGCGTAAACTAGAAAATGTTAATGTTAACCAAAGTTGTTTTCAATTTTAAGGTTGGTGTAGCTTTATTTCTTGTGCATCTTTGCAAACCTACCAAGAGGAAACGATATAAGCAGGATTTGATGAGCTCTTATTGATGCTAGTGGGGGATAGAGAAAATGGTCCCCAAATTTCTCAGCCTTCCTAAAACCAGACAGATGATGGTGTTCAAGAGATTAAGGAGCTAATGAAATCAACAGATAAAGTAAAAAATAACGTTCTTAAGAGCAGTTACGAATGCACCCTTGGTTCTATGTTTTAAAAAAAAACAAACATTCTTAGGTCAACTTCTTGCCTTGACATAAATCACTAGATCTTGAATACATTTCTAATCCCCACAACCAATGGAAACTGCAACTTTGGAAATGTGAGAGGATTCATTGATAATGCCTTTCTTTGAATAGTCACATTTTCACATAAAAGTCAAATTTAATTTGTCTAAGAGCATCCATAATGGGCTTCTTAAAATCATCTCCTTGGGCAAATTTTAGGGAGCAATTGGAAAAATACAACTCCAACCATGCTCCCTAGCCACCTCCTAAAATAGAGAGACCTCAAGGAGCTTCTAAATCTGAGGAGAGAAAAGACTTCTAATGACTCCCTAAAATTTAATGCTCAATTATTTTATTAGTAGTTTAACCATTTATTTAATGCCAACTATTTTTTTGTTTTTGCTTTTGTGTCTATACTTTATTCAAAAATTGAACTTAAAAAATATGGTTGAAGTTGAAGTTTTATAGAGAGCTCATAAAATAGCTTTAATGTTTTTAGCTAAATTTTAACTAAAAAATAGAGAGCATGATTGTGGATGTTCTAAGAGCATCCACAGTGGGGGGGTGTATGTTAAATATACACCCCGAGTCATCGGAATCGTCTCCAATGGTGAGATGTAAATGTATGTAAATATACATCACCACCATGGGGATGTAAAATAAAATGTATATTTACATCCATTTTTACATCTCTTGCAAGCGGGACCCACCCGAGAAAAGAGAACAAAAATGAAGAAAAGTCAATATAAAAGGCTGGGACCCATGGCTACACCCCCGAATTTACACCTCCCCACTAGAGCAAAAAACATATTTACACCCCCCTCCCCCCCCGAGGTGTAAAGGGGATGTAAAAGTGGCTTTACACCCCCGAATTTACACCCCCCCCACTGTGGATGCTCTAAGCTTCATGATGTACAATTACAGTGTGTTTGGATGAGGGAAATAAACTTGGGATTTTGATAGAAGTCAGAATTTCTAAATTAACATGAACCAATTCCCGTGTTTGGACTAAAAATATAAATTTAGAAATTCCGCATGGGAAAAATCATGGAATTTAGAGGCCATAAATCCCAACTTTAAATTCTATCTAAAAGTTGTCATTTCTCAAATTCCAAGAGAAATTGAGTTTTTGAAAAAGATAAGTTTACAAATAAAGGTTAAATTCCGTATTTTAAATCCGTCACCCAAACAAGAAACTTTACAAATTTTAGAATATTAATTTCCGTCATTTAAATTCCGTCATTTATAAATTCCTTTGTACTTTTAAATTTCCTCATCCAAACACGCCAGTGAAAGAAAAAGGAAGCATCACCAAGGAGAATCATAATGTCTCATTGGACAATGGGATAAAACAAAACAAAAATATAGAAAGAAAAAAAAAAGCCAAAAAAAATCAAATGTCAATGGGCTTTGGTAATAAAAGAAAAGAAAACAAAAGGGTTGTTCATCAGAACGGTATGCCACTAAAAGAGTATCAATACCATCAAAATGATCATAAAAGGAAATTCAATATTAGTGCTCAAAACCTACTTTTCCTTGTGCTTTTTTCTTTTTTGTTTCTTTTTTCTCCTAGCTTTTCAGACTAATAAGAAATATTTAAATATTTAAATGTTGTACCAAGCCTGGAATCCAGGAAAAAAAGGTGTGTAGGATTCTTCATTCCAAAGATGAAAATTGTGAGGTGAAGCAACATAAATTATATATATTCTTCTTTCCAATAGTTCATTGTATTATTGATGCTTTCCAAATTTTCATATAGAATGTTGCCATTTTCTTTTCCATAGTATTTCAAGGCAATCAAATATTCTTGAATGTGAAACTTTTAACATAATTGGAAGCAATATGCCCGCGCAAAATTAAGTGCTCTGAATCACTGCCACTCTCTTTAAAAGGAATAAAATGAAATTCAATTAGCTCCTTTTTTTTTTGGTCAGGTCAAATAGGTTTTTTTTTTTTTTTTTAAATACAAACGATAGTCTAAACTAAAAGCATGGTGCAAGTGATGTCATTGCACTGGGTCCCCGAAATTTTTTTACTTTATATTATATATATATTAATATTATAAAAACTGTATGTATACTCCAGCATGCAGCCATATTTAGTGGAGTTTGTTTTTAATGCATATCCCTTGATACAAGGCCCAAGTTCGAGTCTCAGTTATATATCACACCCAAATAAATAAATAAAAGTACTTTCTTCTACTAAAAAACAAAACCCAAAAAAAAAAAAATTTATGCCTTCTTCTTTCTCTTGAACTCTTATGTTTTTACAAAACATATTAATATTTAAATTTCTCAAATGAAAACATTAAAAAAATTATGAATTTGATTTGTGATTGTTATTACATTCTAACTTATGATGAATTTTAGTTATAAAAACAATTGTTTTATGACATTAAGTCATGATAATTTTTATTTTTTTTTAGTATTTTAATATTAGATTATGTGAGGGCTTGAGTTTAAGTTCAGCATAGGACCCTCCAAATCTCAAGACTGGCCTACAAGGGGTAGGGGGTTTCTCACACACTACCACAACAGTGTCATGGATGTTCGAACCTGGAACTACTGGTCTTAATATTAGATTATGTGAGGGCTTGAGTTTAAGTTCCGCATAGGACCCTCCAAATCTCAAGACTGGCCTACAAGGGGTAGGGGGTTTCTCACACACTACCACAACAGTGTCATGGATGTTCGAACCTGGAACTACTGGTCTGCAAATTAAGACCCTTTTCCACCCGTTGGTCGATTAGCTCACTTTTATTTAATGAAATTACATTAGTTTACGTAGTTTTTCTCTATATTTCTAAAAGTTTGTCAACTTCAACTCATCACGACAAATTTGAAAATAATATTTAACGGTATCCAATCAAAAACTGAATCTCAAACCTTCTTTGGTATCATTCAAAGGTCGATAAACCTAGAATATTTTTTTGTTACAATAAACTGAAAATTAGAAAGTCTAAAAATAAATATTATTTCTTGGTCGGTTGAAAATAAAGTACTATTTTCCTATAAAATTTCACCATCCTCCCTTCTAGCTCAAGATTGCATATCTTCTTGTAGAAAATAAAAGCTAGCTTTCCAGGACAAGGAAAAACAAAAAATTCCTTTCAATGCCAATCAAAAACGTCAAAATAATATTTAGAGCTAAACCTACAATGTAAAACTCCAAAAAAGTACTATGGAACTTTAAAATTAACAATTCCATCTACAAGAAATAATACTGTGTCCTTGTAATTTTTTAATTGCAATGTGATTTGGATTGGTTTTCACTTTTTTTTCTTTTTTTTTTCTTTTGCACAACAACAATGGCGCAGGATCAACGAAAGAAATTAGTGAAGGTAAGAGATAAAACACCAAAAATATTCTGATCACAACCAGTTTCATCCATTTTTCTAAAACCCTAATATGCATGAGTCAAGACATGCATGGTTCAAATAAACCAAGGATCCATGTAGCTAGGTTTTATTCAGTATTTGGCTAACATGATACAGGTTTGCGTTTTCAGATGTGTATATAGTGATATGGCCTCTGAATCATAAATTTTATCGGCAAACTTTAGTGAACTTCCATATTACACCAAATATCACTATAAGAAAACATTATTATAGCTAGTTACATGCGTGACACAAGATGATATGGATAAACCCACTATTAGTAGTGCCTAATAGCAAAATGGGCACGAATAACCGCGACCGCCGGAGATTAGCCACAGATAGTGATTCTAGCCATCTCATCCTAGGGAACACTAGAGCATATCATTAGAGCTAGAAATGGCAAATATTTGCATACATGAAGCCACCACAAACCAGGAAGCGAGGACATGGGTAGGTATAGTTGCGTTAGGTTCTAACATATATGAAGCCAAAAACAAAACCCTGGACAACCCGAAAAAACCCCTTGGACCAGCAAAAACGGGAAAAGGAAAGTAAGGATATTTTACTTGTAACCCAATCAAACATCATTACTAACCAGCTTCTTAAGTGATCTAAAAGACAAAATGATTGGCAATAAATCATAACTGCAACTGCACATTGTGGAAATCTCGTAGTTCTAACCATGGAAAGATCTATATATCATCATAACCTTGTCAAAAACATATATAGCCCTCGATCGAGAGCCAAATTGCAACATCAACTGCACGGATCTGAAGGATGAACAGCACCCAATTGGAGAAATATAGAATTCAGGAATTGCACATTCAGAATCAAAAGAAAGAAACATGCATCGACTAAGCGTTTTTATATCGAAAAATATAAATACACTACGATTAATCTCTAGAAGGGTATTGCTGTGCTAGCCTAGGGTGCCTTAATTAGTATCCAGAAATCACTTCCTTTCTATACCAAATGAATCCAAACGCAAATTAAAACTCTAATCTGTATCTAATGCAGTTTAAATATGTATATGAGAGAGTGTCACAAGGATACTAATTATAAGCATTTAACAATCCCTTTTTTTGTCTGCAAAGAACTAAACAATTTCGACAAAGAGATCAGTCTCTCTCTCAAGGTTCCAAGATGAATCTGTCTACTGGGCAAGACTATCACATAATAACAGTAATTAAGCAGACTATCACAAAGACTATTATCACATTACTGCTGACTTCACAATTTACATGGAAGAGACAATAAATACAAGCAATTGAGCTGTAAATTCATCAATATTTTTTCTAAAAGAATACAAATTTAAGTGCAAGTTCCATAGTCAATTCCAAATAGATACTCCGGGGAAAAAAAATAGTGGACATAGCAGTGATGAGGATTCGCATATTTCTAATACGAAAAGCAAAAGAAAACTATGGGCATGTCACATAAGGGATTAGACTTAGAAAAGGTGATCATGTGCAGAATAGGAAGAATTAATATAAAACAAAAATGAATGTGAATGAAATCCACATGATGAAACCAATCTAGTTTATATATATTAATGCGGACAAGCAAGGGGACAGCATGTGGGGGAAAGAGAAAAAAATCTAAGTAGGCATTGAATTTAGACACCTCTTAATTAATTTACATTAGTCAACATTTGTACGCAACGTTATTTCCAACAAAATAAAAACAAGTCACCTATATCTACGCCATCCATCAATCACACAAAGAAAAAAGAAAAAAAATCATCAAATGAAGCCAAACAACCATATTCTGTACAGCACTTATCCTGGTATCTAATTAACCACAAATCACATAACACAATAGATTCTAAACCACGCTAATTAATGTACGGGTGGGAATCAAACTCAAGTGCAAAAGACGGACACAGTGCCTTGTTTCACACATTAGCATTCTATAGAGGAGACTAAATTACAAATAACTAATCGATGGTGAAGAATGAAAGAGAATGTTTTCTTTCTTTTTTTATTTTTGTGGAAAGTTTATCAACACTGGTGCTAGAAGCTAGTGCATATAAACATCAAAATTATAAGGAACAAAGGATACATCTGAAGGGATTGATGTTTGTTTTTACAATGAAAAAGACTAAAGTTTAAGACAACATAAAGGTTGGATCTATGATGAGAAGCTAGCCTAACTTACCCCCACATTACAATACAAAAGAGAAACAAGTAAATGATTTGTTGTTCATGAACGCATGCAATTGCACGATTGTCCAAAACAGTGCAGAGAGAGAGGCTAAAAGTGGTGAAGTGGGTGGAAAAGGACATGCATGAAATGATTTTTCTTCTTTGGTAACAAATGATGGTAACATTACAACTACTTCTCTCTCATGCCAAAGTCTAAAGCAGCACTAACAAGTCGTCCCACATTTACTTCTGCCTTGATCATGAACAAGCAAAGCGGAAAAAGAGAAATCAGCTTGAGCAGTGAAATATTAATTTGGCCCTAATATCGAAAATATATGGCTGGAATAATTAATACATGTCTAGCACATGAATCAATAGTGCACAGAACAGAAGCAAGAAATAGTTGTAGGGCATAAAAGAAATTAATAAGCTTTATATCTACCACAAATATGTATTTTTTAATGAGATTGTTATTTTTTATTTTTTTTATTGTTTTTGGTAAAAGAAATAATAAGAGAATACTTTATACTGTAGATTTCACCTTTGACAAGCAACACTACTTTGATGAAAAGAAAGAACAAGAGGAAACAGGCAGATGATAAGAAAGCTATATGCAGCTTCTATATATGGGAAAAGGAAATAAAGAAATGATGATAATAATAATGTCCATGGGATTAATGGTATTTTGTAGCTTAAAATGCACTTCTTTAGCAAATTACAAGATTTATGTAGGTGGTTTTGAGTAATTGCTCCCCCGGTCCTAGGTTCGAGTCCCCCTATTCATGTTGTGTGTGTGTTTAATATATCATCGCCCCACTCAATAGGAAAGGTCCTCAAACAAAAACAAAACATAAAAAAGGATGTATAATCCCCCCTTATTAGTGCGATGCAAATGCAACTAACTATAGCAACTAGAAACCATGAAGCTGAAAATCATTTATAAAGAAGAGAAGAAATTAAACATGTTAATAAAATACTTGTTTCAGTAATATTAATACAATAGATTAATATTAATGATTAGTAGGACCAAGCAGAAGAAAAATTAGACAAGTACAATGTTAATCCTTCCAAGCTAGGTTGTTCATTAACGGATGCAGTACCTAATTAACACCACAGAACTAGGAAGAATATACCATCAATTTATTGGATTACCAAAGTTTGAACCTCCCAGCAATCCTCCACTAGACGCCCCATAAACGTCCGACGTGTCGAGAATCGGGGAAGAAGCCCCGTTTCGTCCACCATTGCCACCACCACTAGTGCCGCCACCACCCCCCAAATGCAATTCGGAGATGTTGGGAAACCCTTCTCTACTTTCAACCCCTTGATCATATAAGAACCCTTTGAACACGTGGCCACCAATTTTCACAACTGCCTGATATGCATACTCATCGTCACCGTCTTCCACCGCAGTCACCCGAACGCACTTGAACACCGCCGGAGCACGTACTTGGCTCGGCAATGACTCCTTGAAACCAGCATCTGCACACATAGATATATTGTACATCTTTATATAGTTATGGGAATTTAACAAACTAAGTACAATTTGAAACCCTACTCAAATAATTTCAACTAATTATAAAAGATAATAGTATTGCTAGTACATTTCATTTAATTCAAGTAATTAAATCAACCTTGGTGACTAGAGCTAGTATCATAGCTTCTAGGGGGGGTGGTGTTCGAAGTGGAAGTATGAGACGTTGTCGTTTGGGAGGCGCCAATGAGCCTAGGCTTCTTGGCACTGGATGTAGACCCAGAATTAGACCCAGCCCCACCTCCAGCCGCACCTGACATCAGCTGCCTCTCTCTCCGCCGAGCTGCCGGTACCCACGTGCTCTTCACGTGAGTGGCACAGTCGAAGCCCCGGCTTTTGCAGCACGTCCTGCACCGCCTGTGCGTGCAGTCCTTCTTCGCCTGGTTCCCGCAATCTTGACACGTCATTGTTGACGCCCCGGAGGCAGCGGCAGAGCTGGAATTCATAACGTTGTTCCCTACTCCTCCGCCGCCACCACCTTGAACCAAGTGGGTCCCGCCGAGACTCGTAGCAGCCAGATCATGTGGAGTTTTCTTGAAGAAGTGGGGCTGGGTCTGCTGCCACAGCTGAATTCCTCCTCCTCCTCCTCCTCCCGCGCTTCGGTTGTTTCGATGCTGGCCGCTGCTCATCATACCCATTCCCATACCCATACCCATGCCCATGCCCATGCCCATGCCCATGCCCATGCTCATACCTGTAGGAGTGTGGGCATTGTTATCTTCGTCATCGTCGACATTTGAGATATTTGGCGGGGCAAGACAAGGGGTGGCGGTGAGGAGAGGGATGACGGGGACGCCAACCCCGACACCGAGAGCGGTGGCGGGGTTGGTGGAGGCGTTGATGTTATGGTGAGGGTCGGAGGAGGGGGAGAGGAGATTGGGATCGTGGTGGTGGTGGTGGAGGTGGTGATGGTTGTTGTGGTGGTAGGCGGCGGCAGGGGCCACGACGAAGACGTCTCGGAGGCCGACCATGCCGGCCATCTCGGGAGGGAGGTGGCTGTAGGAGAGGGGCCTGCTGGGAGGGCCGGAGGAGGGCCACATGGTGCTGGGGGAAGCGGAGGAGGGTCCAGCGGGGGTGGGCCCAGCATTGAAGCCGAGGGAGAGAACGTCGAGGTCGGGGTGGTGGTGGTGGGAGGGGCGTCCGGTGGCTGCGGAGTTGGTGGAGGAAGATGAGCCCACCCAATCTGCAAAAGCACCAGAATCTGAAGGCAGCCTCCTTGTAGTAGCCACAACTGAAGCTCAACCTCTTTCTCAATGTTTATTACAAACCCAATTGCTCACAATCTTAATTAGCCCCCCCTTGTTTTCTCAATTGTATATATATTAATTTCTTCTTCTTCTTCTTCTTGTGTGAGATTGGGAGAAGGAGAGCGAACAAGTCAATGTATGGAAGGATGGGTAGCTAATATCTATGTGTGGGTGTTATGTGTTGTAGGTCTCTGAAATTCTATCAGAATTTGGTTGTTAGATCGATGTAAGAATAAAGCTAGGTTCATTTAGAAAGAGAAAGAGACAGAGAGAGAAGTTTGTTGGGAACTTGGGAGGCTTTCTGGCTTGCTTGCTGTATATATATATATATGGTAGAATAGTGCCTACTGCTGCTGTTGTGCTGCAGCTACTGCTTCTACTGTCACTAGTTTGGCTTTTATGAGGAAAAAAGTTGGTTTTTTCTGATCAGAAACACAAACAGATTGAGAGAAAGAGAGAGAGAGCTTCTGCTTCTGCTTATCCGCTTATCTGCTTCTGGCCCTTCTACTTACGGGTGGGGGCCGACCCTCAAAGCCCAGACTGAGTCCACAGGCAACAGAGAAAAACAAGACCAAAGCAGCAGCTAGTTAATGCTATGTATCTTCACTCTTCACACTCTTCTGTGTGTGTGAGAGAGAGAGAGACAGAGAGACAGAGACAGAGAGAGAAATGCAATAACGACCTTTCCTGTGTGTATTTTCTGCTGTTGCTATTGTGCCCAGTGACCTTTCTCTCTCATCATAATCATAGATCCATCTCCCTTCTTTTTCTTCTTCTATATCTTCTTCTTCCTCCTCTTTTCCTTCTGCTCCTCCTCTTTCTCTCTCTCTCTCTCTCTTTCTCTTTCTCTTTCTCAGCTTCTTAACTTCTTTCTCTTTATCTTTTTCTCCAAACTCTCTCTCCCTAAAAACCCTTCCTCAACATGTTTCCTAGAAAGCCAACTTGAGGTGGGTTCCTCTCTACCTCTCAACTCCCTTCACCTCTCTCTCTCCAATAATCACTTAGCTGAATAGCAATAGCAAATAGTATAAGATAGGAAGAGAGAGAGAGAGAGATACAAAAGTGAGAGAGAGAGAGTATAAAGACTTTTGTTCTCTAGTTTTTGTAGTTTTGTGGAGTCTCTAAAGTCACATGACATCTCTCATTCATTTAGGGCAACAGTGCTCCTTCTACAGTCCTACTTCTCTACTTCATCACGCGTGTATTGCTCACTCTCCAACAGCGCGTGGGACTTATTATTCTCCATCCCTCTCATCCTAAAATGGTGGTGGCCCACATGAATGGAGAGCTGCAGTGCGGCGCGTGTAGAGCACGCTAATTAGCCTCCTCATTTTTCATTAATTAAACGTGGAGTCCAAGTAGGAGTCCCAAAATCTATCTGTTTTGTCGTTTTGTAATTGGGTTTGTCAGATGAGATGAGAGAAAGAATGGAGATGAATGTTGTCAGATTGGTGCATATTTTCGTAACATCATTAACAGTGTAAGCTAGGTTTGACTTATCAGTTTAATTATTTTGCTATAATTAACCAATTAAGGCTCCAATAACTGAGTTAATTGTACCTTCCTTTTCTAATTCTTCCTCAAAATTATACGTCGGAGCCCCGTTTGATAGAGAGGATTAGATTGGACTAACTAAATTTCATGTGCAATTAAGGAATAATATGAATGTTGTCTTTCAATTTGGAGGAGTAGGACTATGAATCCAACCATTTTCAAGAAGATTAGTGGAGATAAGTTTTAGACAACAACCTCATATGAATACTCCACCTTAATTCTTTACGTTGAATGACAACATCCATATTCTTCCTTGATTGCACATAAAAGCTAGTTATTTAGTTAACCTCCATATTAAACGTGGCCAATGATCAAATTAGATATCACAATGGGGTTGCACATGCACTAGCCCAATTTGGTTTGAAGAAAGGTCTATGGTTTTTTTGGGAAGATATTGCCCCCTCTGGCTGGAGCAGGTACTAGAGAGCGATAGGATGCATATTTAATGGTGCTTTTTTGTTTTCCTCTGTTGTTTATTTGCAGGTGTTGTGGTACTCTTTTTTCTTGACCGAATTTTCCTCCTTTAGGGGTTTTATATGACAAGGTTTTAATGAGGCCACTCTTAGCCCTCCGTTTCACCAATTGATTCTATTGTAAGTGTTGATGCAAGTTCAATGAAATTCTTCTCTTTGATAAAAATTTATATTTAAAAAAAAAAGTAGATATCACAATTTACTATTGATATTTGGCCTCCTTCTCTCAAATTCGTTGATCATATTCTCGTGAAGCAAATTTTGTTGCAAATGTTTTTGCATATTTGAGTCATCTATATATATAAAGCAAAAGGCAGAGAATGGTGAAACTTTCAAAATACCAGAAAATGCCCTTGGTTAATGCAAACATTAAAAATTGAAATTATTAATTAAATGAGGATAATATGGTAAATTCACACTTTTTCATATTTAAAAAAATAAAAATTAAAAGAAAAATCAGATAATGGCCTATTTTTATGGAACACAACTACCCATTATCTTTTTAATTCTAAAATAAATTTATTTTTTTTAAAAAAAAGCCTCTCGCAAGCGCAGAAGCACGTGCGGAGAGGCTAGTTTCTAATTATGTGAAAAAATTGGGGTTTGTGCTAAAATAACCCTTTTTAACAACTTTTGTTCCAAAATAGCAACTGCTCCCATGGTGTCTCCATATGAAGGGGCAATGTTAAAAGGCTAAAAGATCAAAAATAATAATAATAATAATAACCCAATTGCCTTACAATACAATACTAATGTTATTCATAATTAAAATAAATAAGAGTCGTACATCTAAGCCTAATTGACTATAGTTTATTTTGTATATCAATTAATATGCACAAAATTCACGTTACACAATTATTTACCAAAATTCATATCAAATATGAACAAAATGCATGTCAATTACACAATTAGTCTATCAAAATTCATATGAAAATCATCCCTTAATCTAACCAAAATCAATACCAATTAATCTAACCCAAAGTACATGTGATTTGGAGGTCACGAGATAAAAGTACATGTGATTATGAGTTCGGGGTATTTTTCAGTGAATTTTTCAGAGCACATATGAATTTGTAATGAATTTCTAAAGTTGGTCTAGTTAAAATTTGGCACAAGGCACCTCAATAGTGGACCATATTAAAAAGGAATGCAAGTTGAGAAGCACAAGATTCTAACTACAAACACGAGTCATCTTCTTCTTCGACTGGTGTATGCAACTTAAGTGAAAAAATTTCAAAATCTTCTAAAATCTATAACTTTGGTTATGGAGGTCCAATTGACGAACCATTTTCTCCTACATGATCGTGAGATCGAACTCAATAATCTAAGGTAAATATTCAAGGTCTCATATAGCAAAAACAAAACAGCCTCTTTGAGGCTTTTAATCGAACACTTGGTGGTCGCAAGTAAAGGAGCAAATTCCTGCATCTCCAACGCATTTTTTGGCGAGGGGAGGTGCACTTGCACCTCTGTGGGTCCGCTATTGCTCATAGTGCCTTTGTAATATAAGGATGGTTATTTTGGAACAAAAGTTATGAAGAATGGCAATTTTAGCTAATTTCTCGAAAAAATTTGGGTACATTGGCCATTCCAACGGTTGTTTCCACAACTTTGATGGGATTGGGTTGTCGACATAGGTTTATGTTGTAGTTCTTGATTTGCCGTGTACTTAAATTGTAGTTCTTGGCTCACTTCTATTTTGGAAAGTGGTACATCTTTCTCTCAGTTTAGTCAATGAAATGCCTCCCCAACCAAAAAAAAAGGTCAATGAAATGCCTCTTGCAATAAACGAAATAGCCAAATTTACTGCTCAGTAGGATATATTTTTGTTAAAGGTGAATAAGCTCACCACCAATGATTGAAAACGAATAGATTAAAAATTGAGATATTTAGTTATATGCGCATTCTTAGCAATAGAGATATAGATAAACCCTACATCATTTAATTTTCATAAACAAATCCAAAAAATGACAGCTAGCCTTATTGAATTTAATTTTGATTATTTAATTACTTTGATGCCCAATTAAGTGTTTTGGGTTTTATTATGAGATTTTGGGGTTGGACTTGTTTTAAGAAATCGATGGCAGTTTTGTAATTTATAAGAAGTTTGAAGCCTCTTTGTTATGTTGTAAATGGGTTTGGGGTGTGTTTTTAAAGTCTATTTCATATAGGTTTAAGCCTAATTGACTATAGTTTATTTTGTATATCAATTAATATGCACAAAATTCACGTTACACAATTATTTACCAAAATTCATATCAAATATGAACAAAATGCATGTCAATTACACAATTAGTCTATCAAAATTCATATGAAAATCATCCCTTAATCTAACCAAAATCAATACCAATTAATCTAACCCAAAGTACATGTGATTTGGAGGTCACGAGATAAAAGTACATGTGATTATGAGTTCGGGGTATTTTTCGGTGAATTTTTCAGAGCACATATGAATTTGTAATGAATTTCTAAAGTTGGTCTAGTTAAAATTTGGCACAAGGCACCTCAATAGTGGACCATATTAAAAAGGAATGCAAGTTGAGAAGCACAAGATTCTAACTACAAACACGAGTCATCTTCTTCTTCGACTGGTGTATGCAACTTAAGTGAAAAAATTTCAAAATCTTCTAAAATCTATAACTTTGGTTATGGAGGTCCAATTGACGAACCATTTTCTCCTACATGATCGTGAGATCGAGCTCAATAATCTAAGGTAAATATTCAAGGTCTCATATAGCAAAAACAAAACAGCCTCTTTGAGGCTTTTAATCGAACACTTGGTGGTCGCAAGTAAAGGAGCAAATTCCTGCATCTCCAACGCATTTTTTGGCGAGGGGAGGTGCACTTGCACCTCTGTGGGTCCGCTATTGCTCATAGTGCCTTTGTAATATAAGGATGGTTATTTTGGAACAAAAGTTATGAAGAATGGCAATTTTAGCTAATTTCTCGAAAAAATTTGGGTACATTGGCCATTCCAACGGTTGTTTCCACAACTTTGATGGGATTGGGTTGTCGACATAGGTTTATGTTGTAGTTCTTGATTTGCCGTGTACTTAAATTGTAGTTCTTGGCTCACTTCTATTTTGGAAAGTGGTACATCTTTCTCTCAGTTTAGTCAATGAAATGCCTCCCCAACCAAAAAAAAAGGTCAATGAAATGCCTCTTGCAATAAACGAAATAGCCAAATTTACTGCTCAGTAGGATATATTTTTGTTAAAGGTGAATAAGCTCACCACCAATGATTGAAAACGAATAGATTAAAAATTGAGATATTTAGTTATATGCGCATTCTTAGCAATAGAGATATAGATAAACCCTACATCATTTAATTTTCATAAACAAATCCAAAAAATGACAGCTAGCCTTATTGAATTTAATTTTGATTATTTAATTACTTTGATGCCCAATTAAGTGTTTTGGGTTTTATTATGAGATTTTGGGGTTGGACTTGTTTTAAGAAATCGATGGCAGTTTTGTAATTTATAAGAAGTTTGAAGCCTCTTTGTTATGTTGTAAATGGGTTTGGGGTGTGTTTTTAAAGTCTATTTCATATAGGTTTTTTTAGGCTTATTTATGTACATGCCTCCTGTGCTTTCGAAGTTGTCTCAGATTACCACATGTTCTTTGAAACGTCTCAAAATACCACATACACTTTTAATAACTGTCTCATGTTACATATTCCGTCAGTATTAAGAGAGGTTTTGTTACGTGATGGGTTTATTGAGTAATTTGGGGTCTGTGTTGGTGGTGGGTGGAGATTTTTGGGAGAGAAATCTTCTAGAGGCTGTTGTGATGAGCGGGTGAGGCTTGGTTGTGGGTTCAAAGGTTGAGAGGGTGAAGAGGAGGAGGGTTATGAAGACCAAAAGGGCATAGATGGAAATTGTGGATTGGGCTTTGGACAGAAGGAGATTATTGGAATTGGTTCGTTTGAAAATTGTGCACATTTTTTATGAAGAATAAGAAGAATAAGAAGGAGATGGGGAA